TATCGTAGTTCTATTGTTTTTTTAAAACACATTAAATTTTACAGTCGCAACTCCCTTTCACAAAATATCCTTCACGTTTAGTTTCATGTTACAATTTTTTATTCTTTTTTGAAAATTTCAAATTAGAACACAACTTACTGTTCATTTTAAGCAGCAAAATATACTAGAAATTGGTTATAACGTCAACTTAAGTCCTAAAGATCGGCGATGTTTTGACGTAATAACCGAGCGTCGCTGTTACCAGACGTTACATCAAAGTTGTCGTTATAACCGATGTTGTCGTTATAATTGAACGTAAGGTTATCCCATTTTATGTTATTTAAATAATAATCCCTACTACGAGTACATTCCCTATTAATCCTAACTCAAAAAAAATTAAATTTGCCTACAGCTGTAGGTATCTGTTATTAGGGTTGAGGGGCAACGGTGCCCTGCCCTTACGAAAGACCATTTGGTCATTGGTCAGCTAAGTAACTAACGCACGATCTGATTTATTTAGTGACACGCCTAAATGTATTCAAAGAAGTTTGAAACTTTTGCATTATAATAAAATAATAGGCCCGGTTGTTGTACAATTCCCCCTTTTATTTAGCATCAGTCCGGCCCATCTCTGAGCTGTCCGACACATCTATTGTTACTCAGTTTTACAGGGTTACAAATGAGAACGCAGGCTAAGTAGCTAGACCTTTTGAAAAATCAGTTTTAAAAGTCATTTTTCCAACTATCCATGAGCCTAATTCATGCTACATAGTGCAAAGTGGTAGACGATCGAAAATATGAAACGTTCAACATTTGGACTTTCTGTAACAAGAGCGCTGTTGTCTAGATACTGTCATAATTTCAAAGAATGGATAACGTTTTTAAAGTCAGACCTTTTTAGGGCTTTAATTCATTTTATAATTCCATTGATTGCGATTTCTATTGTCCATTACATTGTTAGTAACAAATAAAATTGAAATTAACAGCAACAATAACTTTATTAGAGGCGTTAACAGTGCTAACAGCACGAGACAAAGCTGTGTAAATGACCCCCGCGGGGTTTGTTGGGGCCCGAAGGCTCTAACCCCTGCCCTGGACCAGATGTTCCGAAAGAAAAAAGTTCCGATAGTGAAATAATTTTCGCACGCCTTTTCTATACGCACTCGCGTACACATATAAAATGCTCTGCAGTAACGAAAAGGGTTTCAGGGGGAACAAAATTATTTCGAATGCCCCCCACGGACACCGCCATGCCCACTACGCTTTTAGTTTTTATTCAATTTTAGCAGACTTATTAAGTAGCAGTAGGTAACAGTATTACTAACTTATTATATTGTACAAGATATCAAACTCATCAAAACAAATGAATACTGATTTGATTATAGCTTTCATGTGTATCTGTTTATTTCATCATCGTCATAAGGTCGTCAGTCCTAAGACTAGTTGGACACGTACCTCCACTCTTTCCTATCCTGAGCTAATCTTCGCATTTCCCTAAAACTATGACAACCCACATCCTTAACTATTTGCGAACAGTAATCTAACCTAGTTCTACCTCTACCCCTTCTAACTCCTGTTTCTGCCTTTAATATGCCTCTGACTAGATCTTCATGGTGAGCTACGCCGGGATTCGTTTCAGCAAGTAGATATCCATATTTTTAAATGGACCTTGTTGGAGCATACGTAATCCTAAAATGTAGGTCGTACTACAGATGGCATTTACCATGCCATTTGTGGTATTTTCTAAAACGCGCTGTTAAGACAGCAGGTAAAGGTTGGTCTGTGTTCTGTCGGAGCTGCCTGCGACGCGCTGATGAGATCCAAAAAGATCGAAANAATGGGTGTTGCTTAGTGCTAATAATTATCTATATTTTTAAAATTACTTTTATTCAAAAACTTTGCCGTTTGATCTAGTTTATTATTTACTCTCATTACATTTCAAATTTCTTTGTTCCTTTGTTCAATTCAACTTTATAACATTTCTTCAAACATTTCTTAAACTAACAAAATAATTCGAAATGGTCTGTATTCTGTCGAAACTGCCAGACAGCAGGTAAAGGTTGGTCTGTGTTCTGTCGGAGCTGCCTGCGACGCGCTGATGAGATCCAAAAAGATCGAAATCGCGATCCGCGTCTGGCATTTTCGACAGAATACAGACCAGTTCGAATTATTTTATTAGATCTTCATGCTTGAGAAGGTGTCCTACTAACCTATCTCGCCTATTTTTTATTGACTTCCATAGAGTCCTGTTCTCCTATTCTTTCTAATACCTCTTCATTTCTAACCTTCTCTATCCACGGTATCCTTATCATTCGCCTGTAACACCACATTTCGAACGCTTCTAACCTTTTCTTTTCCGCCGCGCCCAGTGTCCGTGTTTCGCACCCTTACAGCGCCGCGCTCCAAACATACACCTTTAACAACCGTTCGCAAGCATAGATGTGACTTCTTTTTATTGAAGGCGACACGACCCTGCTCTATCCTCTGCTTTATATCCCTACTACTCCTTCCGTCCTGACTTATCTGACTTCCTAGATTCCTAAAATCAGTCACTTCTTCTAATTTTTCGTCTCCTATCTTTATATTCGCTCTTTCCCAACTTTTTCTTCCCTTGCATACCAGATCTATTTATCTGTTGTCTTAAAACTCGAGAATCCTATTCCAAATAACATCATCTCTAGATTTTTGGAAAAACTAATTTTCTACAGAATGTTTCACGATGACAGATTTTCTTGGGATAGTTAAACTCGTAATATGTAATACGTAATAGTTTTTTGGCGTCCGAAAGAACAATTTGGAAGGATTTACTGAAGGAGTAGAGTCAGAACCAAGATAGCATTCAAGTGTTGGTTCTCAAAATGAAGAAGGCAACATAAGCAGTACAATATGACTGTATGCTTCACACCTAATAACTATAAAAAAATGTGTTTTCACGAATTAAATCGCACACAAAAACCTGGTTTAGTTACATACAAAAGACACCTAGAATTTAGTTTAACATACCGATCAGCAGATATATTATAGTGAAAGTTAATTCTTATTATGAGAGTTCACCGAACAGCCTTGTCAACAAAAACGACATGAATGCAAAGTAATCTCCAATTTCATACCGTTCGAACAAGACACAGTTTTTGTCTTTTTAAATTTTGCATCATACGCAATAATGGTCTTTCTCAAAACACTTGTACAGATGAAAAACCCGAAATGAGTTTCGTCGTTTATTTCCTATGGATTTTTCGCTATAGTTTTATTGTCTTGAGATCATTTCTTATGTAAATAATAATCTTGGGTTTTATTTGCAAAAATACCCTGACCGTACCTTTTCGCTTTAATGAATAATGCATTAAGTTTGACTCTTATTATAGTGCAAATTTTATTATTGTTTATACGAATATAGGTAGGTATCTATTACTTAGTAAACTACCAAGAAACTTTATGTAATAAATCTAATTTGTTGATTTATTCTCCACGCTGAATTTTAATTAATTCGTAAATAGAGCAAGCAACAATTAAAAACAGAAGAATTGAAATAAAACCGTTTTTGTTTCAACTTCTACCTCTAAAAAAGTAACTTAAACTTCATTTGTGCAATTCATCAGCAAACAATAACTAATCGCTCTCTTTCTATTGAGTACTTTGTCTTATTTTTAATAGTTTTTTTAAACAATTGACGTTACTGTTTATATGTTTCAACGATTGCATTTTATAAGACACTAGTATGGATATAAAACAGCGACCTTGTTCAAACCTTGAATTTAATTTGTACGTCTGCAAAGTGTGTATAAAAATAAACTCTATATATTATTATTAATAAATAATTTAACTGGAAAAAAATCCACAACTATTATGTGCAGTTACCGGGAAATACGTTACTGTAGGAAAATACGGTTTACATTTTTAATCTTAACCGCTCTAATTGTATTAAGATTTAATTCAGAGAAATATACAATTAGGAAAATACAATTACACTTGCTGATAATTAAACAATTTATATATTATTGATTTCTTTTGTTTTATTATTAGGGTATTATGTCTATATACTGATTGAACATAAATTAAATGATTTATTTAACGTGATTAGGTGGTATAATTAAATAAAAAGGAATAAGAACGTCATGATGACTGACAACTTTCAACCCTTTAAATACTTGGTATAACATGATTATAAAAGGAATTGTCATCCATCAGATCCTCGCATTACACGATTACTTTGCATTTTTGAGTCCCGCATCTAAAGAAACCAAATTTTTTATTGCGTGAACCCTTTCCTTAATCTAATATAAAAACAAAAGCTATTAAACGAGACCAGATAAATAATTCGGGTTAGGGGTCGTCTAGAATAAACCGTGTAAGTCGATGTCGGTTACAGTAATAAATTTCTGCTTTAAAAAAATAAGAAAAAATCATCTTCAAAGAACCCGTTTAAACCATTGTTCCGACATGTGTCACCTTGTTAACGCATAAAATTAGGACCGATCCTTTGTCTATAACAAAACTACCCCTGCACGCCTGCCGGAAATCATTAAAAGGGTATATCTTGTTCTCATTAACCGTGGGGTCATTTTTGACGTGGCCTACTTCGAAATAAATGGTTCAGATTATGGCCATTCATATAACGAACGTTCGACCATTTATCATGCTTTGTCTAAAACGGTCCACGGTAAGCTACATGTTAAATATTTGTTTAAAGAGAACCCGAACTACATAACACCATTAATATAATGCCTTCACTAACAACAAAAAATATTGCAATTACTACATTAGTACAGGAATTTATTTATAAATGACGACAAAAAGTATATAATGTACGCTAAAGTTGCATTCGAATGTGCTTTCTATCGATTAAATGTTTTTGATTGCTTTTTGGTTTTTTGAAACAATTTCCTTGATTGTTTTTCTTGTTTCGACACTCTTTTTTTTTTCTTTCTATGTCAATAATGTTTTCAATATTTTGTTTTTTTTTACCAGCAATGCTTTATTTATTCGTTGTTTTTTATCAAGCTTTTCATCTGTTTTTTCAGGTCCATCTAAAATCTTCGTTTATAATGAATGGGGTGTGTGTTCGATGGCGGGGGTGGATCGACTTGGAACGGCTTGACGGGGTGGGCTGTCTGGAATATTGCGAAGAACGAGCTGCTACAGAGGACGCTTTGTTGAGGGAACAAATCGAAAGGTATAACCAAAGACTTCGAGAATTCGAGGACAAACAGAGGGCTGCAGCAGGATATAGACCAACTCATAATCAACAGGATCATCGGACAGCTACCGAACAGGAACTTGAGGTAGGTAACACATAATCAATATTAAAGAGAATGTAGAATTGTTGGTATCAATTAACAGGACCTTGCTATATCTGGGCTTCTTTTCTTCTAATTATCAAGTATTTAACAGTTCACAAAAAGCCCTTGTGGTTAAAAAAATAAATATATGTGTTCGTTTATAATTTTTCTTGTGGAATAGTTGTTGTATAGTTAGATATAGTACGTGGACAGATTATATTCATTAGCAGGTGTATTTATTGTGTTGACGATAGCTGAGAAAAAGAGGATTAGTAACGTAGGGCCGAAGAAAGGGCCTAGGAAATCTGCGTGGGAGTGAACCTGGTGAATAAACAGATTTTATTACAATAAACCTGACGCTTAAGGGCAAATCGTCCATTGTACACGTAGGGGATGATCTGGAACCGGCTTAATGCGTTTCCATATGTATTTGTTTTGCTAACAGCTATTTCACGCACTGACACTTTGAAACACGTCGACGTTCAGGATTCAGAGAGACACATCATCAGGAGATTAGGCGGTGGATAAAATACATTGAAAATAGATAAGACGAATAATTAAAAAAAAAATGATGTCCATTTTTGACTTCCAACGTTTATTACTATCAATTTGGAAGAAGTGGTCGAGTTGAGACTCTGCGTTCACAAAAAAAGATTACAAGACGACTGGCCACACAGCTCATACATGAATTTTCTTATCACGTATGAATGACATCAAATGAAAGGTACGTGTATCTAGGCGAAATTGTTACTCCAGTATGAGGCTGCAGTTTCGGAGCCACCTTAACAATAACATCGAATATATCGTAGGAAAGTGAATAATATTTTAGATAAACAGATCTTTAATAAGATTTATCTGCTCGTAAATCACAATGAAACTATTGTAAATATAAAATAGCAAACATCACGTTTCCTTCATACAAATCTTTAAGTTTCTGTTGTAAGGGATTTTAGGATTTCTGACGTCCTTATCCACTACAACAATGGTTGGGGATAGTAGCTCGTTCTATGTACGAATTAGACGTGCTAACAGCCGACAAAAATATTGTAACAAACTTGAATCGCCGTTGGGTGCATCATAAACATAAATATGGAGTCCCCTTTTTGATTTTTCACTTCGGCACCTTTTCAAATGTCAATATGTCGCCCCGTGGGGGTTACTCTTGTTGAATGAGCTCGCAGCAGCGCGAGAGGGAGCACGACAGCGCCCCCCGCAGTCAAATCTTCCCGTGTGTGCTTTTGATATTAAAAAAAGGACGGCGCAATTTTCTGCAACTATTACAAATACAGTTGTATAAAAGGGCACCTACTATAACCTCAAATAAGTAGTGGATATGTGGGCCAAGATAGACGTTTTGAAAATTGTAGATTTCAAGAACACTTTGTACTTTTCAGAAAACAATTGTCAGTATCCATATTGTTTATAACAAATTAAAACGCTGGAGCTGTGTAAGTAATACCTACTGGAGTGAATTAGATATTGAAAAGGGTAAAAAAAACAAGAGAACAAAGGGAAAACATCTTGCTAAGAAGTTTAATTTAAATCGACGGGGTTGTTTATTGCATTTAGAGATATATTTTGATTTCAATTAAATTATACTATTGGATCGACCCTTTGGAATGCTATTATGATCCCCCGTTTACGATCAGAAGGGTTGCTAAACCACCCCTAGTGTAAGAGATCGAGCACACTGCACGCCAGATTATACGAATGTCTTTACTGATATTTTGTAATTACTTTTTCGACAAGAAAATTAAAAATTGATGCTATACTCGAAAGAATATCAGACCATTGGAATTTTTAAATGCCATTTTATAAACGGTCGCATTCTTTGGTGTCTAATATGGTTGAAAATCCAAAACGAATGTTCCAAATAGAACAGGCTCGCAAAGGTCTGTTCTCCGAAGAGACCTAATAAATAAAATTATCGTTTACAACATGATAACTGGTACTTAACTTCCTTGCTTTTGAAAAGTACAACAATGCCAAGTCAGGCTGCCAATAAACATAATGGGGCTGCCGATCTGACTCGTATCTGACGTTCATTGTGCTCCAAAAACTGACCGGTGGAAGCACCGGTAAGTGCGTGTACTATTGTGTTTTTGTTTGCCCCAAACAGGATGCAGGATTGCTGCAAATATCTCCAATAATACTACAATCTATATATATATGTGTGTGTGTGTTTAGAGAATATACATAGACAGATGATTTATTAAGGGGTAGTTGGGATTGAAACGTCCGCTATTTCGAGCATTCTATTACGATCTATCCGAGAGGAGGCAGCATGTAGGCTATTGGATGTAATATTTGGACATTTAGGGGATGAAAATTTATGATTTTTGAATGCGATGAGAATCAGCAACACATTTGTTGACATGTTCATTTCAAAATCCGGAATCGTTAGGTACAATAAACGGATTCTATTAATGTGAAGGGGGATGCAAGAGGGTAGGTGTTTCAAAAACGTTTAATGCAGAATTATTCTTAGATATTCAAGTGACAGACGGAAACATAAATATTTAGTTGATTTCCTTATTTCTCTTTGATGGTTATATCAGATGAATATATGCTTGGTTTATGAGAATTAAGCAATATTAAAAACTACCCCTTTTCTTGGATTTCAAACCTCATCATCATCGTCATAAGGTCGTCAGTCCTATGACTGGTTGGACACGTACTTCCACTCTTTCCTATCCTGCGCTAATCTTCGCATTTGTCTAAAACTAGAACAACCCACATTCTTATAACTATTTGCGAACAGTAATCCAATCTAGGTCTATCACTACCCCTCCTAACTGCCGTTTCTGGCTCTAATTTGTCTCTGACTAGACCTTCATGATTGAGAAGATGTCCTACCAACCTATCTCGCCTATTTCTTATTGACTATTCTTTCTAATACCTCTATATTTGTAACCTTCTCTATCTACGGTATTTCAAACCTAAATCAGGAAAAAAGTGATTACAGTAGATTTGAATATGGACGGATTACTAATATTTCTGCATTTATTTTATAATTGATGTACGGTAGGCTAAGAAAACAGGGTGTAAACCTATTGGTGGATTCAAATCCTTTAAAAAAATGATAATAATTGCTTTTTATTAACATAATTCAAGAACTAGTTACGAAAAAATGTATGTAGGTGCTTATATCTCTACAGGAAGGAATAAGTATTGTAGAATGTAGAGTTTAGAAACGGGACGTGTATAGGGGAGTCCCGGGGGCGATCCCGTTGTGCAAGAATGATTGGCTCAAAGGCCGGTAGCGTCTGAAATTGCTTATGCGAGGGTGCCCTTTAATTTGGAAGGGTCGCGCCCCCGACGCTTGCCACCCTCGACGCTCGTTAATGATCACTCGCCTGTTTCGAACTAGACAATAAAGAAAAAATACGACAAAAGTGCTCTGCTCTCTGTGCATATCAAATACTACTACTACTATTACGCGCAACTGATTATTGACAGCATCATTGTCAGCACGCTGATCGATAGGAGAAAGGACCACGGGAGAACATTTTCCAATTGAAAGGTCGGCGTTCGTTTTTTATTTTTTTTGTTTGGTTGTTGTTGAAATAACAAATTACAAACACTAGACGACAGAAAACGTTAATGGTTGCGGTAGCGGCCCAAGACTCAGTTTGACAATCTTACTAAAACAATACATTTATTGCAAATTACTCTTTCTTATTCTGGGCTAATCTTCGCATTTCCCTAAAATTAGAACATCCCACATCCTTAATTATTTGCTACTAGTAATTGAATCTAGGTCTACCTCTACTCCTTTTAACTTATGTTTCTGCCTCTGAGTAGCCCTTCATGCCTGAGAACGTGTCCTACCAACCTATCTCGCCTATTTCTTATTGACTTCCTTAGAGTCCTCTGTTCTCCTATTCTTTCTAATACCTCATCACTAATAACCGTCTCTATCCACCGTATCCTTATCATTCGCCTCCAACACTACATTTCAATCGCTTCTAACCTTTTCCTTTCCGCCGCGCCCTCCGTCCATGTTTCTCACCCGTACAACGCCGCGCTCTCCAGACCTTTAACAATATTTTTCGAATTTTTTCGAAATTAATCGTTCTTTTATTGAAGGCTTATAATTATTACTGAACTTATGTGAAAGATTATAATAAAATTTCCCTCTCCCATAAGTTTTACACTTCCTAAGGCCATATTTTCCTTTAAAACATAACTTTTTCGAATACATGTACGCCAATCATTTGGTCACCCATCTTCGAAACAATATAGCGAAGAGACCTCGAAAATTACGGAATATTCCAAAATAATAAAGAATCAAATTATTAACAGTCAGTGCATTTCTATAACCTATATTTACTACTAACAAATACTGTCTAATAAAAGTAAGATGTCAAACTTCGTTGAATAATACATAAACGCAAACCCACCCCTGTTTGTTTACATAACTCTGTTGCGACAATCCTCATAATCCTTGAAAGACGCCGGCAGTAAAAAACAGTTTATGCCATGGATGAGCGCATATAATGAACCCTCCCCGAGCAGCTCCACTGTGTCTTCATGTCCTCCATTGAAATAAACAGTAGTCACAGTCGGAAGGAGGAGAATGTACAAAAAAAAAAGAATAAATTGTTCAAAGTTCCGACGGACGAGGGTATCAACTAAGCACGTTTTTAATACAAATGGGATTAGAGATTACACCGGCTCGTAGTATTTGTCGCATAAGTGCATTTAAGAATCTTCTCATTCTCATTCTCCTCTCTCCGGGAGAAAAAGACGGGATGATGACGATGATAATGATGGCATCGTCTAAAAGGCAACGTTTGAAGCTATATGAAGCGTGTAACATGAAAATTAGGAGCCGGAACTGTTCTACCTGAATGCAGGCCCCGATCTATTATTATATTCGAAAAAAGAAACAGTTTTCGACCTTTCACTAGTTTCAGAATAATAGAAACACTTGATTTGTAATGGATAGTTTCGGACGGCACTTCTGTCTTCGACGGAACATGAAAACTTTCTCACAAAGTGTCAAGTTTTGAGTAGAAGAAACTTATCTTGTCTCTTTTGTAACTATAATGATGGGCTAGCAATTTCTTCTAACACTTGGTAAATCTTTAATTGTTTTCCCTCTTCAATGGGACACAAACAGATTCGGTTCTGGTAATTCCAAATCGATATTTTGTGAGAGAGGTGTCCGGTAAATTTATTTAAAATAAACTAACATTCGATGATAGTAACTTATTTTAAAGATTAACTACTGTTGCATTTAAAATATTTCAATTCTGCATTAATTTGTATCTGATGATAGTCTGGTAGTGTAGGATATGGGGAGATTCAATCTCACAAATTTGGCAAAATAAGTAAAAAGTAGATAGTAAATGGCTAAGAACAGTGTTAATGTTATTAAATGGAACATTTTTTATTTAAGGTTTTATCAAATGACGACAAGTATAACCAACGATAAGTCTATTTCTAAAGCATGCTCTTTAATTCTTACTTTCAAAGATTGACCATTTTGTCCAATGTATGTTGTGCCAAGTTATCTTTACGATTGTCTTTTCTTTTTCTTCTATAAAATGATTTCTTTTGTTTCAGTTGAGAATGGCCAACAATCTTCACGGTACGGGCCATCACCATGGTCACCATGGAGGTCCCGTGTCCTCCAGATGCCACGGTCCCCCAAGACACGGCTTACCTTTACAAGTAGGACTGCCACTTACGCCACCGTAGCATAATAATTATTTTTGTGCTTTCGCCAATCCCAGTTTTTTTGTGCAATTGCGAAGCTTAATCGGTAACGATTTTTCGAAAACATAGAAAAAATAAAAGACGGTGACATCAATTTTGTAAAGTCGAATTGGAAATTTATTATGTAATTTGTTTCAAATTAGATGAAAACGAGTTCGAAAATACATCCTCCAGTTCATGGACCTTTTGTGGCTATTGCATTTTCTGTGTTTTCAATATGATTTGCAGCATTAACCAAAAAATCTTGACACACTTATAAAAAATATTTATGATTTAATTAAAACGAAATAGTACAAAAGAATTCTGTGCTTCAGTAGTCTATTTCAAAATATTTCTTTAGTAGTAGACTGTTTGAATAAAACGCGTGTCGTCAGGGGAAGAATGGACCTCTTTCCGACCTCAGCATGTTCCCTTTGATTGTGGACTAAATCCCGTAGATTTCAGTGAAGGCACGGGCTGGATTACGTGAACTAGCACCCGAATGTTTACGTATCTTTTCAACCCTTACATCAGGCATTGAGGCATTGATTAGATTGTTTCAGTTTTGTTCTGAGGATTTAAAGATAAAATTCAAAGGATTTCAACCCGTATTTGTAATTCATCTAACATGACAAAATCTTTGAAATTTTAAGTTTCTTTTTGATTATTATTGGATTAGATAGGTAGATTTTCACATAATATTTGGGTACTCAATAGAAGAAAGAAAAGAGACTGAAACAATTTAACATGTTAATAAATAATCCAAAGAAGGGCTGTGTAATTTGAGACATCTGTTTACAAGTTAATATATGTTGATAGTGACGTTCACACTGTCAAGCCTTTGTCGTTTAAAAAAGCGCAACTAAATGCACCCGGGGTACATGCAAATTAAATAGGACCCTTCCGTTGAAAAAGAGGACACATTTGCTTATAATCACTACAGAAATATACGTAATATGTGTCTCTTGTAACAGCCAGTAGAGTCGAAACATTTTTACCTCCAAATTATCTAATACACAAGTATTTTGAACACACTTTGTAAATAAAATTAATTTTTCCTGTCATTCGTGCTTTCTGTTATTACTTATATATTAATAATTTTATTATTATTTTTTAATCGTCTATTAGTTCACGATGTTACTTTGTATATTTGATCGAAACGTTGTACCTATGTGTATTATTATTTTGTAGGAAATCCATTAAATAATTGTGTTTATATTTTTTGTTCGTTTTATTTTCCTTATTTATTTTAGCAGTATACTTGATTGAAATAAGTTCCATTTTCATCTGAATTTTCCTCATTTTTTATGGTTGTTTTACGTGATAACATATACTCTAAAACCTTTATTAAGGAATCTATAAATTTTGTACATCCAATTTGTAGTTTTAGATATAATCTCGAAAAACGAAACAAACGAAAAGATGTTCTTTGATTCTATATTTCACAGTTCTTTCGGACCGACGTTTTTATGATGTTTATGTTCAATTTTAGTACGTTCACCATTACTTCGAGTCAAAATGTTCCTGTTTCAAATTCCACTGATGTTATTCCGAAAGGAATAGTTGTATATTTTTCAAAAGGCATATTTAGCCCTTGTCAACGGAGTTCCAGGTAAAATCGCTCTGACCTTTTGTAAACGACTCCCTTTGCAGCGCTACTGTATATGTCTCTAAGTAGTGACACGTAGACAATGGGAAATGGCACTTTTTTTAAGGAGAAAACATAGACCAGTTCGTTTGACAACGTCCCCCCGAACGAAATTCATCCCCTACGAATAGGACGGAGGGAGCTGGCCATTTGGAACGTTAAATTGATATGTTTAAAGTTGTCCAAATTGTTGAATGGACGATATTTTGAATCCGATACCTTTGCCGACAAAAAGGACTTTGACAATCGAAAGTAGGGGGATTACAAACAGAAGCTGACGCTCAAATAGGAACTTGCTATTTTTATAGAATTTCAAGATTAAGGACCGACGACTTGAGAAATGTAAACAATACATTAGAAAGTGTCACGTAGTTAAAAATATCGTATTGTAGTTAGAATTACGAATTCGAGTTGAGCGTGCTATATCATCGCTAGCTAGAACTAAACAAAAATGCGACAACATAACAACAAAACTTATGTTTTTGCATGTAATTTTGGAAATAATATTAAAAAAAATCAAATACAATCAATGCAATAGAGAGAAACTTCACTATTTAACTAGATTATCATCATCATAAAGTCGTCAGTACTAAGACTGGTTGGACACGTACCTCCAAGTCTTTCCTATCCTGAGCTAATCTTCGCATTTCCCTAAAACTAAAACAACCCACATCCATAACTATTTACGAACTGTAATCTAATCTAAGTCTACCTCTACCCCTCCTAACTTCTGTTTCTGCCTCTAATATGTCTCAGACTAAACCTTCATGCCTGAGAAGGTGTCCTACTAACCTTTCTCGTCTATTTCTTATTGACTTCCATAGAGTCCTCTGTTCTCCTATTCTTTCTAGTACCTCTTCATTTCTATCCTTCTCTATCGACAGTATCCTCATCATTAACCGTAACGAGCAAAGAAGTGACTTCTTTTTATAGGACTTTTTTTGATGTATTGCTTTCGAAATATCATTATAGTTAAGAATTATCTTAACTGCTTGGGTATTTTAAAAACTCGAATTTTTCAATAAACAAATGCAAATTTGTCCTTCGAGAAGGAGATCGCATATCGATAATAGGAAAGGATTTTTCCAATAGTACCTACTTGAAGTTCCTTGAATAGTACCTGTTTTACTAACCTCATAATATGTATCATGATTCACGTGAGCTAAATATTATAAATTCATATATTTCGCGGGTGTAATCGTGCGGAATCAGGTGTCCATTTAAATAAACATTTAAGCCTTATTTCTTTACGATATAAAAATTCATAAACTTTCAATACAATGGACTGTGTCTTCTACATAAAACATACGTCAAAATTACTAGCATATTAGCACGTGCCAGCACATCGCTATTATCATTATTACTAATACTAAATTGACGAGACAAAGAACGATTTAAATTTAAAAATCGAAAAGTGTCAAAAGATTATCGATTTTTATAGAAGCGCAACGCCAATTGTTATACGATATAATGGCGATTGTAGCATGCATTATAATAAACATCAACTCGACGATCTTTCTTTGTTCTATCGATTACCCACTGTATTGTTATTTGATTGTGAAATTGTTTATTTTTTACAGGACAGAAAGAAGAATGACCTCGGACACCATAATTAGCAACCCTTACTGTTTAAATAATGTAAACACGTCCTTCGAAACCGATATCTAGTCAGTCTTTAATTCTACTGTCGTATTATTGTGATATTTTAATGCAAGTTGTTGTAAATGAATTTTTTATTTTCTTTTTTATTATTGTATTTATTCGGCGGTTGGTATATTAATATACAGAGTGATCGTTTATGTAACAAATTGTAACAAGAAATGCAGTTTTTGTTCTGTATTAAATGATTTGATTAAAATGTATCATATTATGGTGTTCTAAGTCGAACCCTTTTAACTTCAATAAATGCGTCTCTCTGTGGAATACAACCGATTCTTTTCACCCTTTCCCTAAACGCCCAAAATTAGCGGCACATGTTCGCATTAAAATGAATTATAGCAATAGCGATAAAGTTACGGGTAATTTTGTGATTTACAACAAAAAAAAAAGAACAATTGCTACGAATGTTATCAAACAAGCGTGATTTTCTTTATGGATGTGAAAATTTCAATCAGATAGCTGAATTAATACAATTGCATTTATTGGACTTTATTATTTATATGAAAAGTTGACTAAAATTACTTCGAATATTCTTACACTATGTCGTATTTTTCAAAAGATGATGCCGTCCATTGCTCTAAAAACTATCCTAAACAAATTTAACTTTCAAAATCTTTTGAACAAAGAGCAAGACCCCTCAAAAACTTTAAATTGGCATTTATTGGACTTTATTATTTATATGAATAGATGGCTGAANGATGATGTTTGGTTCTTAATTCGCTTGTACTTCACATAAATCTGAAAATATTATTATTTAGTGTTAATTTTAAATCTTTATTAGCCATTTCTTAGAAAAAAGGTCTTGTAAGGGTTTCCTGAAGTGTAAAAAGAAAAGTGATTGGGGAAACTCCTGTAGAATTAGTTTCTTTTGTTCGAGAAAATTCAATTTAGGTCAATTGGATTTTGTTTGAATGCCCATGTTATTTAACAAACCAAAAAGTGCAGGTAAGTATTATTGACACAGTATATGGCTGTTAGTTCCAGCAGTATCTGCTATAACGTCCCTACGAACGGGTAGGTATATTTTACAACTGAATGACGTTACAACATAATTAAACTGGCGTGATTTTTCCGAAACATTAACCCGGCACAATGACCTGAAAGGGTTGCTGCCCTTTTCGTTAAATAAATAAATGAATTTAAAACCAGTCAGTTAGAAAAATGAGTAGTGAAGTGTACAAAATCCCACTTTTCAAATTTAACCATGGCCTTTTCTTGTTGCGTTTTACGGTTGTACGTTAATTTTAATAAACCAAAGAAGGAAAAGGAAACAAATTGGTTTACAACAGGCACGTATCTACAACTCATAGAAAAAGTAATATAACAATAACGGAAATGCAGCACTTACTAAGTGTATTAGAAGTACTAGCAACTGTTCTACTGTTCTACTAAAAATCATCAATATAAATATGTACAGTGGATTTCATTTATTAAGACCTTGGTTATAGCGACCATTCTGTTATAGCGGCATTCAATCTAAGTCATTTAAATTTCAAGTATTTCAGTACAAATTTCATGCGGCTATAGCGGTTTCGGATGTAACGCCGAGTTCGAGTGTAGCAACTGTTTTTAATGAATCATTTGTAAGAAATTCCTATAAATCCCAGATGCAGATAATAGCGACCGAAAACACAATAAGCTTTTTATCTTTTGTTTACATCAACACAGACAACTGTTAAAGAAAAGGCTTTGTCTGTAATAACTTCCGGATATAACGACGTTATTGCAGTAGTCCATTCATCGTCGTTATACCCGAAATCCACTGTATTTGATAATAATTCGTAACTAGCGTTTGCGTAGGTTGCAAATCTATGTATCATCATATACTAAATAAAAGGTCCTGGCATATTCTACGTTCATTAAAAAGGAGTGCGGGGTGATTGGTCTTTTTGCGAAAAAGAAAATTTGAAATTCTAAACTGTAGGTATCACACGTTGTTGTTTTCGTATGAGTTCTCTTTACCTTATTCTGTATGTTACATACATTGCATAGGACGCCGTCGCGGAAAAATTGGATGAAGAATAAATCACTGATGAGTGAGAAAAACACCCAAACAAAATTCACAAAGCTTTTATCTTAATAGGAAGAAGATAAACGTTTTTAATGAATTATCAACATCCGCTTCGGTTCCATTACTATAGAATTTATTGCTGAGTCTAGTCTCTAGAGGAACTTGTCAAAACAGCGTTTTCACAAAATCCATTAGTTAAAAATAGGAGCTGAAAGATTAACGTTGACTAGATGTAACGTTAAGTATTCCTTAAATTTAAACATTTCTCTAACAGTCGACGGTAACTTTTGAAGCTACACTGTAAATCTTAAGCGAACGACAAAAATGAACGATTTATTAATTTTCGGCGTTTGTACCTATAACTAGTCTAAAATTACTGAAACATGAAAAAACAGCTTATTTGTGAAAGTCCGTTATTTTCTAATTTTATTCTTTTATACGTACACTAAAATATTGATATGGCAAGGGAAGAAAAAGTAGGTAAAGAGCGAATATAAAGATAGGAGACGAAAAGTTAGAAGAAGTGGCTGATTTTAGATACCTAGGAAGTCAGATAAGTGAGGATGGAAGGAGTAGTAGGGATATAAAGCAGGGGATAGCGCAGGGTCGTGTCGCCTTTAATAAAAAGAAGTCACTTCTATGCTCGCGAACGGTTAAATTAGAGATTCGAAAAAGGTTGTTAAGGGTGTATGTTTGGAGCACGACGTTGTACGGGTGCGAAACATGGACGGTGGGAACGGCGGAAAAGAAAAGGTTAGAAGCGTTCGAAATGTGGTGTTATAGGCGGATGATGAGGATATCGTGGGTAGAAAAGGTTAGAAATGAAGAGGTATTGGAAAGAATAGGAGAACAGAGGACTCTATGGAAGTTAATAAGAAATAGGCGAGATAGGTTGGTAGGACA